ATATATATATATATATATATATATATATATATATATATGAAAGAGAGGGTAAATGTCATGATTAAATTTGACATTACACATACCAAGTTGAAGTGTTGCATCATTTTCAGCCCCTTTTTGGCATCTGCATTTGGTAGCAGGTCAAAGTGACAAAGACCGTGCAGAATAATGTATTTTAATTCCACAGCAGAGAAAGCTGTGTAGTCTCTGTACGTAGGTCTAGGCAAAAAATATTGGTATCGGTTATCGGACAAATAAGTTAACATATTGGCATATCGGATATCGGCCAAAAATTCAATATTGTGCATTCCTTTGTAGTAGCTGAAAGTCATTCACAACACAAGCTCTGAGCAACATTAAACAATTTTGCATGAGACTGAGCGGAACGTTTTAAGAGTTGATCAAAATGGCTTCAACTCTGTCGTTTTCATCAAAGAATGATCTTAGTCTAAAACTCTGGCAGTTCTTTCCAGGAAATCTAGACCTTTAATTTATTCTCAATGGATTTTTTTGTAAACTTTACATTTAGGTCAGGTTTGTTAGAAAAAAAAAAAAACTAATAAAAAAAAGCGACTTGATTTCAAGAGCTTACCCCAAACATTTGTGACAACCGGGTTTTAGAGAGATGCTTAACAAAAATATTAGTTTCTGTTTTTATCATTACAGTTTAAAATTGCTTAATTTAAAGAGATTTAATTTAGATTTATATAATTTCAGAAACTTTATTTTGACTTGTATTCGGTACCTTGTGGCCTCACCTAATAAGATTTCTGACTAACGTTAAAGTCTGTCCATGCATTGATTTGTGCTCTGATCAACTATTTGAACATTTTAGATAACGTCAGCATGTTCATTTTCTGTAAAATGATTTTCCTCCTTTCTTGTAAATTGAAAGCAGCGTTAAGTGAAAGGTGTGTTGGCAGGAATAGATGCAAATTGACTTGAGTCTTGGCAGCTCTCTGTTGTGCTATGGTCCTGCCTTGTTGGGAGCCTGAGCTCACTCTGCCCCCTTGTGGGCGGAGCCATCTGCCAACAACCGGCAGAGAGGCGTCAGATCCAGATGTGATGCGTCGTTATCTAGACGCTGGGCTGAACGATGCATGCTGGCACCATCTGCTGACATCTGATTGACACACGCAATCATGACTCTTCGTTGCGGCCTTTCTTTACGGCCACGGCTGAGTCGTCGGCCGGCGGGATTAGCATCTCTAGGGTTGCACCAGCATTGTTTCCAGTTCCTAAACTGGGACAGTCGGAGGCAATAAAGAGATTTTCCAGCTTTGAAAGACGAGGTGCCGATAAAAAATGCATGTGGGAGCTTTTTGTCATTACAGAGCCAGATCAGTGATTGAAGGTTGACAATACAATTTCACATCATGGAAATGAATTAGGCCGGACTTATTCATTATGCATGCCCATTGGTTTCTTGTTCAGGGTGGCCATTGTGTCAATTCTAAATAGATAAAGTCAGGCAGGGACGCAGATAACCAGGTAAAGACATTTGTTCTGCTGTCCAGCAGAACCTCTCTGTCCATATCTGTGTCTCCGAGGGTCGAGGCTCTTTCCACAACAGCGCAGGCTTTGAAAGAGGAAATTAGGACACTGGTTTCACAATAATTAAACTGAGCTGTGCTGCTTTTGATTTCAGGCAGTACATTTAACGTTACACTGGAAATTGTGTTGTTTTAAACCCATATAACAGAAATCCAGTTTTGTAACAAGCGGGGGGAAGCACATTAACTTGTGAACTCTGCTCTCGTTTCGTTGCTTTTCAACCTACTTTGAAAAGTGTTTGCTCCAGTTAGATGACAATTTCTGATAATCTTCCATCTTTTTTTTTTTTTCCTCTGGTGGGGTAAATCCATCACAACAGTTGACTCGTTGAATCGTGTTTTCTGGTTTCCAGAGTTTCTAAGGTATAATGTGCGTCTTAATCAAGCTATTTTAATCCTTCAGGTGAAGCTACTTTGAACAATCTGTACTTACAGTTTAGTGCGATTTCCTTTGGCAAACACATCGGTGATTAAGTTTCACCTTGGCTCTGTCAGTGTCAGCACTGTCACCTGACAACTCTTTCTGTGCTCTCACTAACACCTCTGAACCTCATGTTTGTTGAGCAGCAACATGCCTCATGGTCGTCTCTGAAACGATGCTCTGCTTTGTGATATCAGCTCCAGGTCCAGGTTCATCCTTCATTATTTGTGTCTCCTGCAGTCTGAAACCAAACTGCCGATTACTTTGTGTGTGTTTAATACGGGCTTACACGAGCTGCCCAGTTTGGCTCTAAACCCTAAATTAACCAGTTTGTGCTTGACGGGGGAGTATCTGCGATTTTTGCACATTTTGTTTTTCATGAATGCTGTAAAATAAAAGTATTGCATTTTACGGTCTTCCTTTTTCTATACCAATTTCCTGGGAAGTTGAACCTTTGGCTGTTTTATTGTGATAACCTGTGTCTATTTAGAACTAAAAATCAAGTATTAGTATAAAAAAACACATTAAGAACTGTAATATCTTTTAGATACTGACATACCGTATTTTTCAGACTATAAGGTGCACTTAAAATCTTTTAATTTTCTTAAAACTCGACAGTGAGCCTTCTAATCCAGTGCACTTTATGTATTAATTCTTGTTGTGCTTACTGACCTCGAACCGATTTTATTTGGTACACGGCGCTCAAAAATCTTGCAAAATGAACTTATTTCACTTCACCACTTGCTCTTGCCGAGGTCGGATGCTTTTCCCCTCCTCTCCCTCCTCCACTTTGCGTTGCTGCTCTGTCCTGTCTGTGAAACTGCTTCTGAGCCTCTCTCTACATTTCTTCTGAACCATAATTTTGTGGATCTGGTCAGTTGGTCTCTCAACGCAGTGGACAAAATTTTTGAGACAAGCTTCAGGCGAGCTGAACTGCCTGAACGACACGTCTGTAGCTGGACATGTCTCTGGAGGAGGTGGAATGTGATGTGTCTATCTCTGCTGTCAATCGAGGACGCCAAAACTGCATATCATTTGATTTATGATAACGGGTTTCCTGTTTTTGGAATTGTCTGGCTCCTGGTTTATCAACATACAAAGAAGACGGTCACAGCTGATCTGGCCTGGTCAGACTGCCACCTATGTGAAGGTTTGCTTCGTGTCTCCTGAACCCAGACTCTATTGCTTAGCGGACTGGACCCACTGGCAAGATGGATCAAATCTCGGGGAATATTCTCAGGCACGGATCAGTGGTGTGTCCTCTTAATCTGGATCTATCGGAATCTACGTGAGGCGAGCAAAGATTCAAGGCAAATAAAAATTAAAGTTCTGCCTGACTTCAAAAACAAACGTTGTTTATCTGAATTTGGGTCCCTTGGCTGGCCTTGCAGGCCATCTCATCTCGATTCGCCTGGAGGACATGTAATCTGACGCGCTGCCCCCCTGAGGAATTCCATTGAACAACCTGAGGAAACCAGCTGAATAAATATTTTGTCATCATTTCAGGACTCCTGGATTCTCATTGCATTGTCCTTGGCCGTTCCCTGACATCCCTCGAGAATGTTTACGGATCTCACCAGAGGGAACTGGTTGATTATTCCATCCTTATCAGAACTCTTACAGTGCCCTCGAGAGCGTCCATGGACATCTCACCGCTCTCGTCGTCTCTCCTCTCTGCGGAATGTCTGCGTTACCATGTGCTTATATGTGCGAGGTGTTTTTTATTTCAATATTAGTCTTTCTTCTCAGCCAAGAAGAGTTTAATAGGATTTTTTTTTTTTGCCTCCAATTCCTACATGTGTCCAGTTTCACTACTTTTTTGTCTGTCTAAACAGATCTCACTTGTAAATGAGTCTTCGAAGCTCAATGTGATTTATCTGTCTAAATAAAGGTTGAATTGAATTGAACTGAATTAATGCACCTTATAATCTGGTGCACCTTATAGTCTGAAAAATGCAGTACGTCTCTCTGTCATTCATATCTGAATTTTTTCCCCCGCTTGTTCTAAATGATCTTTTATTTTAAAATCATTGCAATTTTAGTAAACCGGTTCTTTTCTCTATTTTTCCCAGGTGGTGCTCGTATTTGCACTCAGTATTGGAGCCCTTGTAATATACTTCATCGATTCTTCAAAGTAAGTATTGCACTGGAGTTAATCCATCATATGTCACAGTTAACCTGTTTTGTGCCACTGCTGTAAACTATTAAATACAATGTAAGGTGCGTGCTGAAATTTAAAGATTCTTCGTTTAATTCTGAGATGCAGCTTTATCGTAATTCTATAATGTTGCATCAGTTTTATAAATCACACTGTTCGAAAGTGAAGAAATTTCCTCGAGAAACAAGACGACAGTCTCAAACACAGCCTTTATTTGTTGAAAGCAAAGTGGCTTTACATAATATACAAGTTCATCTGTGAGCAGGTTTCTTTAATTAAAAATAAACATGAGCACCAGCTAATTACACCATCTGTATTATGATCTAATGCTGCCTAAACAGGAAAATCCATTTGGTGAAACTGCAATGCTTTTATTTAAAGCTCATCATGAAATTTGCCTTTTCACTATCTTGATTTGCACTGTACTGCTTAAACCAGTAAATCAGATAAAATCTGATGAATCCCTCTAATGACCAGATAACAATTATGAAACGAGCAAGAAAGTCTAAACCTAATTTATTGTAACGCAGTGTCTGTTTGTTCAGTCAGTCTTGCCAAGTACAGCATACGAAGTACAAATTACACCAGCATAAATGATCAACTAGGCCAAGTAAAAATGCACATTCAAATAATTTGATAATAAATTAAATGGCAGCAAATAAACCTGTGACCACACTGATTTCTAATTAACCACTTTTGTACTGCAAAAGCTTTGGTATGGTTAAGAATAATTCAAGAAACAACTTGTACCACTGATGTTTCATTGAGGGGTGATGTGTCAAAAACCACCTTTGAAACATGCCATAATGTACACGTGTTCTCCGTTGTTGGAAAACTACCGTAGTTTCCAGCGTGTAAGTCAGTTTTTTGCATAAATCAGCCAGTCCTGCGACTTATACGCCAAAACGATTTTATATACGTTTTATTTCCATATTTTGACTAACGCTTTAAATGTTCATTCATACTGACATGAACCAGAGTAAACATTACCTTATGCAGCTACCCCCCCCCCCCCCCACACACACACACACCCACACACACCCCTACAAACATTCACTTGGAGACAAAAAGGAAGAAGTGGGTAAAAGATAATGGATGGAAGGACAACTGAGAAAAACTTAACACAAGCAAAATGCCCCAAAACAAAAAAAAATCCTATTTTTCAGATTACAAACTGCAGGTAATAAAATATGCAGCCCAAAACGTTACTCAAGTAGCAGAAAGAAAGTTTGTAAACGGGTGGGGTCTGCGCAGTCTTCCCTGGGGATTCATCCCCGTGGAAGGGATGGCTGCACGATATTAGAGGATACCCCTTCGTGGGGAACGTCCCCCCCCCCCCACGTCTGGCTGGCTCAGGCTGGAGCTGCGAGCCACCGAGCCCTACAGTGAGACACCCCCCGCCTGCACCTCGCTGCTTCCCAGGGCCACGGATCACGCGCCGCGCTGCGCCGAAGCTCAGGGTCAAAACAGCTTCATTTTGCCTGGGCCCCGGGGGAGCCGTCGTGCCCCCCAGGCAAAATGAAGCTGTTTTGACCGTTAAAGTGCATTTATTAAGGAAAAGTTAACCTGAGACACACGTTTGCTTTAATGTCGAGCACACAAATAATTGTTTTTAAGTGTTAATCTTTTTAAATTTCAAAGAACTGCAACGGTGAGTCCTCCCGTGCGCGCTCCCGTGCCTGATTTTTGGCACGACACCAGCCCACGTTTCCCAGGGGTCAGTGGTGACACATTATAAATGCGACTTATACGCCAAAGTGACTTATCTATGTTCTTTTCCTCTTCATGATGCTTTTTTTTTTTGGACTGATGCGACTTATACACCAGAAAATACGGTACTTTCCTCTCAGTTTGCTAGGTCCGTAGCATCATTAGAATTTGTCCGATTCAATCGTGTACATAGCCAAAAAATGCTCCAGCAAGAGAAGACGTCAGTGTTTTTCCACAGTGTTTTAAAGTACTTACAGTACCCCCCCCCCCCCCCCACGCAAAAAGTACAATTTGAATGAGAAGCTGATCACATCAGACCTCTTTTCTAGTAGGTGCACTGATATTCTTTATAATGTAACTGGTGCCACTTTGGTCCAAGCGTCAAGCTATCGCTGCCAACATTTTAACTGTATACTCTGAGAATTTTAAATACTACAGTAAATAAGAAGAGAAGGATGAGGTTATCCTCTTAGGTACTTGGTGCACTAGCTCTACAATTGGTGTAGGAAACTTCAAACTTCCTGTTGAAAACAAATACTATCACTCATCAGAGGGGAGGAAGTGAAAGGCCCTTTTAGCTGCATGTGACAGCTCAGTGTTACTGCAGTCTGCTTGTGTTAGGACAGGAAGTTCCATTAAGGAGCACAGCAAAACACACAAAGATAAAAGCTTTTTGTCAAGCCCACCGGGAACAATGTGAAGGCAGAGGGAAGAAAATGGGCTATGAACTGGTGTAATCAGTCTCGAGGTACTGAAAAGAAGTGTTGGGGTTATTTGTTATCGTATAAGATCACATGGCAGCTGAGGGCTGGGCTTATTTTGTTGTGGTTTGCAGGCAAGATCTCATTTCATTATCTTGACAAGCTCAGGTAGTGTTACATCCTCACTGAGGCCACCTGTGGCCTTCTGTTCTTAAAACTAGTGGCCCTCAATGCCTTTTCACCTTATGAAGAATGACCTTCATCCTCTATTTACCGTGCGTGTGCACGTGTGTGGGAGCTTGCATCATAGACTCAACAGCGAGGAATGAAGCTGCAGCACCTGTTCAGTATCTCACATGCATATTCATTTTGCAGCCTCTTCCTGTTATCATTCTGCCTTGATCAGGTTTTTCTATTATTCAAGGAGTCTTTTATCCCTTACAACAAGCCTTGTACTTAAAACCAAAGTTTGGCGCCGCGTCACCTGCTTTTTTGGCACCAGCAGAATGTAACGGATACAACACTTCTGATAATTAGTCCTGTGAGGTTGTTGAGGCTCCTGTCAGGTCAGCTTGTCCATCATGGACTAGTTGACCTGACAGGAAGTGACACATCAACAAAGCAGAACCAATGATACAGTATATATATTTTCCAGAATAGAACTCAAGAATGAAAATCTCAGAACATAGATGGATTAATATGGTCTAAATGTTTTGATGCACCTTGCTTTTATGCAGACCCATGTCTTGGTTAAAAACAAAACAAAAGAATAATGAGTTGTCAAAACTGACACGTTTAAAGATCTAGCATTCTTTGAAGAAATGCGTATGACTCACTGCTTTTCATATGTGTTTTAGACTGAAAACACGTGCGCACACACATGCATTGTTACCCATAATTTGTCTTTTTGCAGTGGCTGATAATGATATCAAACACCGATCACATGCAGCAGGTAGCCTTCAGTGAGATGAAATATTTAAGTTGAGTATTTTGGTTATTTTTGTGTGTAAATATCGGTCCATCCTTTCAGGTATTTGCAATTCTAGAATTGCATCGCTCAAGGTGGCTGCATGTTGGAGTAGCTCTGTTACATTCATTTTGGGATGTTGCTTTTGAAAACTTTAATTTCTCTTTTTCTGGATGTAAATCACTCTATTTTAAATTATTATTTCCTCTGGTATTGGATGCTGTGCAGTTGGAAGGATTTTTACGGAAATTTTTTACTTTTGGACATTTGTTATGATGTGTAACCATAACAACAAGGTTGTTTTTTGTTTTGTTTTTTACAACCGGGAGCAGCTGATGAGCATCTCAAAAGCTCAAATAATGCCTCAGCTACAGCCCCAAATCCCAAATGATTTGAAAAGGAGGCACCGTGGATGCATTCCCATCTACCTGACGGTGGTGCTCGAGTACCTGACTGCTGAGATCCTGGAGCTGGCAGGAAACGCAGCTCGTGACAAGACCAGGATCAGCCCCCGGCACATGCTGCTGGCTGTCTGCAATGGCGAGGAGCTCAACAAGCTGCTGGGAGGAGTGTCCATCGCTCAGGGAGGAGTTCTGACCAACATTCAGATGGTCCTGCTGCCCAAGAAGACCAAAAAAACCTCACCAAGGCCAATTTAGACGGATCACCATCTGCAGCGTTTCTTCAGATCTGCTCTAAGACAGACCACTACAAAAGATCCTTCCTGCCCACAGCCATCAGCATCTAGAACAACTCTGTAATCAAACGAGGATGAGTTACAACATTTAATTTTTCTTTGGGATCAATAAAGTATTTTTGAATTAAACGTCACCAAACTCCTTGTTACTTGTTTGTATGCAACAGCTATGAGAGTCTCCGCAACATTGGTTAAAACAACTTGATGAGGGATTTCTGCAACCTTTCATCCTCTGTGAATTTTACGTATGCGCAACATTTTTTAAACAGAAAGTTGCAAAGCCTCAAATAACATACAGCATCAGCAGGAATCTCATACATGAGCTGATCTGAACGTAGGAGAGGCACAAAGTGACCCATCCTGCTGTGATTGGGAAAGGTTTCTGATGCGTAACAGGCTTAGTGTTCTAAACCTGACGGAAACGCAGTTATGTAGCTCTGCAGCTCTGCCTGTGCCGTGTGGTCCGTCATCCTGCAGGGACTGTGATGTACTGAGCCTCAATGAGGACCGAACTAGCTTAAAGGGATTGTTCTTAGAAGTAGCAAGAGTTTTTGTTTCAGTCTATTTCTTTCTTCCTTTTACAATTATAGACATTTTTCTAAAGCATAATTTACATTACAGCTGTTTAAAAAATATATAGTGTTATTTAAAATATGAAAGCAAAAATTAAATACAGTAGTCCCTCCTTTATTGCAGGGGATCCGTACCCTGAAGCCCCGCGATACGTGAAAAACTGCCAAGTAGGAATAGTAGTACAAGTAGAAGTTTATTTTAGTGTATGTATGTATGTATATATATATATATATATATATATATATAGGTGTTTTAAACCCTTCCTTTTGCAATATTCTAAACAATGTTTCTAAATGCAGTAAAAGAGCACAGAATGTCATGATTTCAGCTCCCTGCCTCACCAGCTCTCAGCCACCTGCAAGCGCTCTTGGCCACGCCCACTTCTCTGCTCTGCATGAAGATCAACTGCAGGAGGAAGCTTATCCTGCAGTGTGGGCTGCACAAGGGTGCAAGAGGTGCTAAATCATTTAAAATAATTATTTTTAACTAAAAATTCCATGTTGATCGTGCGGCTCGTGCGTCATGTCCAATTTTATTTTGAACAACTGCGATGGAGCGAGTCCGCGCTAAACAAACGGCGAAGTAGCGATTCGGTTCCCTTTTGAAATCCAACCTTTTTTGATTGAACATGTTCTGCTTATCATTTGGCTTGACGAACAAGTTTATGTTGCTGTTTAATAGCTCAGTGTTGAAATGTTTCTTTTAGGGTTAATGAGTTGAAGCAGTGTTCAGCTGAGTGGTAGAAACTTCAATATAAAAGACAGGTTGTTGTTCCGCATCCACAATACGCAGTAATTCTCTAGTGCATGGTCAGAAACTATGAAAATGCCTCATTGTGCTTGACGTGATGGGACTCGAACCATGAGTAGAGAATGATCTAGATATTCAAATTAGGCAAACAAGCTGATGTGATTTACCAGCTGGAAGGGAAAACCACCTGAATTAGGCTCCGTATGACATGATCTGTCCCCAGAACGACGTCAAAATGTGAGTGGGAAAGATGAAGCACCCACACCTGCCTCCACTCTCATTTGCTCCACTCTGGGCCCTTGAGCAAGGCCCTAAACCCCCACTATCATGCTCTCTGACGCCCTAGATAGCAGCTCCCTGCTCCACACAGAGGTCTGTGGTAGCTCAGGGGTCTGTGGTTGCGTCAAGAAGGACATCCGGATTAAAAACAATTGCCAAGTTTTCGTGTGAGTTAGTTCACTATTGTGACCCCTGAAGAAGGGAGCAGCCGAAAGAAGAGGAAGAAGGAAGAAGACACGATCAATGAAGATGCTGAAGTCCTCAATACATCAGACCTCTAATTATCAACCTGCTGTGGATTAGATCAATTCAAAAGTATAATCCCTCAGGCGTAATCCCACTTCATGAGCTCCATAAAAGCAGTATTTCATCAGAAAGTGTTATTGGTGTGATTTTTATTTATTTATTTTTTTTAAATAAAACAATTTGCTATGATAACAAAGTCCATGCTCAATATTCCAGGTATACAATCCAACATTTTTCAGTTGGGTCATCTGGACGGTTTCTTTCTTTTTTTTGTGCTGAAACGTTTCGCCTTCGATCCAGAAGGCTTCTTCAGTCAAGGAAACGCACAACAAATCTAAATAGTATTTATTGGCACAGAGGAGGGCTGTAGCCTGGCGGTCAGTGCCACGCTCTGTGATCCTGTGGCTGCATGTTGGAGCCCAGGTTGTGTCCGGAACGACATCCAAAGTAAAACAATTTCCTGATATTTGTACAAATTCACTCGCTGTGTTGAAGCAGCCGAAACAAGCAGCAGCAGCTGGTTAGATTAAAAACAGTTAATATGTGTTATAGGAAGCTCTTTGAATAACCTCAGTTTGGAGAAATGGTTTAATTTTGATTGGATTGCCAAGATATTAGAGCAGTGCCAAGACCAAAGTGGATTGCTGCCATCTTAAAACGTCTCCAATGTCGAACCTCAGATTTGTCAAACCTTTCGTCACTGTCGGTTTCACTTTACACAATTATTTGCATGGAATTTCACGATTATTTGCAAATGGCATCGGCAGCAGCTAGTTGTAGATTTTCCAGTGCAGCCTGGGGCACTTCAGGCACAAATTTCATCACATTTCTGCTGGAATTATTGTGTACTGTGAAATTATAATGATTTCAAAGGATTTTTAAAAATCATTCGCATGAAGTTGAGAAATCCTTGATGTTGAGGTTCTTTTCAAACACCGATATCACGTCTGATTTCTATATATTATTATTATTATTATTTTAAATAAACTAAGGATATTAAAAAGGCTTTATACAACATATTAATTGTTCATACCCTTTTTACAAAAATCCCACTTTAAATGATTCGAACTATTTCTTTAAGTGGTAAAAATGTCTTCGTCTGTGACCCTGTGTACACAGTTTCGTTCCACCACATGTACCACATGTGATGTGAATGACAATAAAGAACCTTGACCTTGATCTGAGCAGGATTTAGAAATGAAGAATGAGGTGATGCACAACCACAGCTTTCAGGACCTGGATTACTTATTTATTCCTCTTATTCTGACTTCATCTAAAGTCTTATTTAAAACTCAAATGTCTCCCTTATCAGCTTGACTGTTGAATTTCTTGAAGATAATTTGGAATTGCTGCAGAAAAACGTTGATTAATTTTGATCATTTTCTAGGCTGATTATTTTATCGCCAAATTTAATGGTAAATGGTAAATGGACTGTACTTGTATAGCACCTTTCTATGTGATCAAGACACTCAAAGCTCTTTACAACACAATCTGTGCCCTCATTTACCCATTCATACAGCTCTCTACTAGATCTCTACAAAGAATAATCAGAGCTTTATCACATTCATACACCGATGGGACACACATCTGAGGCAATGAGGGGTTCAGTGTCTTGCCCAGGGACATTATGTGACTGCTGGTGGAATCAAACCCAACTCTTGCATTGGAGGACGACTGCTCTAACCACTCAGCCACAGCCGCCCATTTTTATTCAACAGAACTAACATACTTTTAATAACCTTTTGATTGTGTTTTATTCAGCTATTCATTCAAAAAAACTAAAACTCATCTACATCCGAGCTGTGCCTTGACTTAACTGTTCTCCACTGTCTTGTCTTCAATAAATCAGAATATTTCTAACTTTTAGTGCACAATCAAACTAACCTAACACATTTCCATATTACTTGGTTAATTATGTCTCTTTATTTGAATTTTTTGTGCCAGATACGAGCTTTTTGAGGGTGAGACTGCACTACATTGCTAGCGCTTGCTATGGCTGCCTGATCTCATAAAAGACGACACGAACCCTGCATGCATTTAACCCTTAAACGACTGCTTTGGCCCTGCATTTCCATCCTGTTCGACCAGATACTTGCATATAATGCTTGTGATGAGAAATGCAAGACTGAGAGGAAAGCATCATTTTCACGAGGAGTCGTTGCACCTGGAGCACCTCACATTCCTCGGAGAGATTTGCAGTTATTTAAGGGTTAACTAGGCATATAAGTTCTTGCTTGTTACAATGAATGCATGCCCTTTCTCAGCAGAAAATCAAACATTGGGGAATATCAATTATTGCACTTAAAAAAACATGTTTCTCTTTAGTTATTCAAAATGTTAAATGCATTTTCAGGAAAAGAAGAATGCATTTTTAAGTCCATTTTATATATTTCCACATATATTACAATGTTTTTGCCTACTTTACTCTGTATTTATCCTTGGGAATAAAACGCCTTGTTTCTTGTGTCTAACAGGCCCATTGAGTCCTGCCAGTACTTCTACAAAGACTACACTCTGCAGATCGACATGGCATTCAACGTGTTCTTCTTGCTTTACTTCGGCCTGCGTGTGAGTACCATCTCAAATAGAAGACATTCCAACGTTAGCGTTTTGCTTTTCTGTATCTAAACTAACGCCTCCGATCTTTCGCCACGCAGTTCATTGCTGCTAATGACAAGCTGTGGTTCTGGCTGGAGGTGAACTCGGTGGTGGACTTCTTCACCGTTCCCCCAGTGTTTGTTTCCGTGTACCTGAACAGGAGCTGGCTGGGTGAGGAAGCACTTCTCTCTCTCTTTCATTCTGTTTGAAGGTTTTCTTGGAAACATGCTCAGATACCGCCTAGCGGACTTGATGGGACCAACAGCTTTACCAGATAAGCTCATCACATCTGTTGGTACATCGTGATTACGGCAGGAAATGTTTTTTTTTTTTGTTCTTGGACTGTTGCAGGTAGCATTTGCGTTATTTGTCATCTGTGCAGAATCTTAACTCACAAGCTGAGTGACTTGCTACATTAACTGTATTCATCAAGTCCATGCTGGTTTTCTTTGTTTGCATCGGGCATTATGCTGCAGCGGTCTTTCAGATACCCTTCACCTTTCCAGCAGAGCTTTTCTCCAACACTTGGTATAATGTTTGAATGAAATCACGCTGGGATTGAAAAGTACACAAATGGATACGAGAGAGAGAGGAGTAGGGTTTGTTGGGGGCCTGAGCCCTAAATGTGTGAAGCTCATCACACAGAGTGGCTGCGAGGAACTCGAGGATTTACAAGAGATGTGTTCTTTTTGTTTGGTTTTCAGGTGCCTTTTATTTTTGTGAAGCCACCAGACGCCAGTCTTTAAATGACGTATAAACCTCCAGATTTAGAGTAATATGAAATATAAAAACATTTAATTTTCCTGTGTTTTCCTTGTGACTTGAGGTCAGAAAGCAACAAAATGTGGAAGAATCTTTTTGGTTGTTGTCGCCATCAAGTGGGCATGTTGGAGTATGGGTGTAATTTAAGCAGTTGAACCTTTTTTTTTTTTTTTTTTTGCCAAACGATGAATATTTAGTGGTTGGATGATGCATGGAGACAAATATTAATCACGTTTTTGAATTTTAAGCAGCGTATGAGTGTTTTTCAGTCGTATTTTGGCTGTTCTTGGGTTTGTTATTCTATTTAATGCTTCAAGCTTAATTTAATTTACTTTAAGTTTGTGTTGTGATATATTGCTGAAATGCATTATTCCTACACCTTAAAGCTTTTCTTACAGCTTTGTGTGAATGGAAAGTTTGCTGAGGCAGAGAAATATTTATTTTTATTATATAACTTGTGCATAAAATGACTTGTATATGACTAGATGAATATTACAAACAAAATGTTTTACTGTGAAAACATATAGACAGCACTGGTTTAGAGAAGTTGTAGTATTTGGGTTTCAAACAATATATTGTAAAATAAGACATAAATAAACAGACACCTAGATACAGATGTGCAATTAATAGATCAGTTTTAGTAGAAAACCAGTGAACCAGTTCATCAAATAAAAACTTCAAAAATACTCCCAAAATATTTACAGGGATAAAAAGAGCAAAAATATGTAAATATTTAAACATTTTATTAAATATGTCAATTTTTCACCAACAAAGCCTAATTGTTCAATTCTTTAAGCTCTTTTTTTATTCATTCAGCCTTTATTTATACAGGTTAGTCTCAATGAGTCATGAGGACTCCTTTACAAGAGAGACATGTTTTAGACAGACAACATAAAAAGTACAAACAACAATAATCTACAGTAAAAATGCAATTAAAATAAAAGTAGCATTATAAAACAGTAAATCAAGGCGCCATATAAACAAGAACATATTTGCTTTGATTTTTCTATTGACCTTATCAAATGTTTACAATTCCCTAAAGAAATTAAGATTGACAGCTTCAGTTCTTGTTGCAAGGTGTTCCAGGTTACAGGAGCAGGAAAAGGCCTTTTTGCCAAGTTCAGTCCGCATTGAGGGTAAGCTGCAGGTAATGATGTCCTGAGAGTGCACGCTGTAACTGCACTGATAATGTGACATGTGGGAGGAGATATAAGAAGGTAGCAGAACATGGAGGGATTTATAGATGAAATTGAACCAGTGTGAGAGCCTTTGTGTAGATGATGACCAACTGACCAAGGAGTACAGGGTGCAGTGATGGGTACAGTAGTTACAACTAGTTATGAATCTTAGTGCACTGTGGTAGACAGCATCCAACACATGCAAGGATCTGGCAGGGGCGTTCGTGTAAATAATGTCACCGTAGTCAATGGCTGGTAGGAAATTATTCACTACAAGGCGTTTGCTGGCATTCAGAGTTAAGCAAGATCTATTTCTAAGAAAGAAACCCAGTTTTCATTTCAGTTTCTTTATCAAGTTTCAATATGTGGTTTAACCTCCTA